GTATGTGTATTAGCTTTATGGGGCTGCATAAAGCTAATACACATACCATACATTTTATTTGCCATTCCCTAAATTTAATAAAGTACCAAAAAGTGAATGGCTTAGAACAACAAAAATTTACTGTCTCAGAGTTCTGGAGTCTAGAAATCTGAGATTAATGTGTCAATAGGGTAGGTTCCTTCTGAGGGCTATGAGAAAGAATCCATGTCATGTCTCTCTCTTAGCTTTTGGTGGTTTCCTGGCAATTTTTGCTGTCCCTTGGCTTGTAGATTCATCACCCTGATCTCTGCCTTCATCTTCACATGGCTTTCTTCCTATGTGTATGTCTGTCTCTGGGTCTGAATCTCCTCTTTTTAAAAGAAACCCAATAAATTGAATTAGAGCCCACTTTAAATACCTCACTTTAATTTGATTCCATCCCTAAAGATTCTGTTTCCAAATAAGGTCACATTCTGAGGTTCTGGGGAAACTAGAACCTCACATATATTTTAGGGGATGCAATTCAACTCATAACAGTAGGAGTATGCTTAAAATATAGAATGTATGAGAAAGTGGAATGGGGAAAGAGAGAAATGGATACAAGCATAGAAATGAGAACAGAAAGATAGGCCTAGATTACTTAAAGATAAAGACTTTCTAAGTAGAAACACAAGCACTTATTCCAAACATACAATTTAAGTAGATGTGTTTTAAGGATAGAGTTCTGTACTCTGTCTCTGAAACCAGAGGACTTGGTTCTCTGTCATTACTAAAGATAGACTTAAGATGTATGGTACAGTGTACTTGATTATTAAATCTTTAGTTTCTCAATTCTGAAGGAAACAGATTTTTCTCTAAAGTAATATTATCAAAATAAATGAGAATCATAGAAGTGCAGATATTAGTAAAGTTAAACTACTTTATTAAAATAAAGTAGACATAAATCTTGACGCTCAGAGGATATTTTTCATTTCTTTCAAGGTTATTATCCATTTAACTCAACCACTTTGCTAGCACCTAGCTCTTCTCTTTCAACCCCTGCTTTTTCTGCTTGTCATGCCTCATGGCTTCATTTATTACTTCATTCAACCTAAGATGCTTAATTTTCATGACTCTGGAACACACAGTCTGCCTCCTTCTGTTACATCTGCCCTGAAATCCCCAAGCCATGCTTGAATCCAGTCACCCACCTACTTCACTCCCACATCCAGATTTCTGAGCACCATGGGTGTCCTCCAGCACCAGCTGGGCAGTTTAGTGGCCCTCCATGTATGGCTTCCAGACACAGCTGAGCTATTGATGCTGCTTAGCAAGCTGTAAACATGAGCTTTATTCCTACCTGGGAGAAGTCTTGCCAGAATTCCAGTCTCCTCACCATCTCTTCTCCATTGCTGCCCCTTTCTGTCAGCCAATTAACATATTTAAAACTTCACAGAGAAATGTGGGTGTTTCTCATTTTCTCTCTCTCTATTTTCTCTTTGGATATTTTCATTAAGATTTGGAAATTCACAAGTGCACATACTTTCTTACCTCTAGTTTTATAGAAAACGTTCCCCTCTCTTCAGCAGGTCTAGTCCTTAGATTGGTGGCATTGCTCCTACCTTAGTTCCTCTCTTGGACTTTGTCCGATCAGCTGCTGTTGGCATTTGTCCCTCTTCCTCCCAACTGGCTCCTTCCGAATACACCACAAATATATTCATATTTCTCACATTAAAGTAAATAAATAAACACACAAAATCTCCTTGGTCATCCACATTTCTAGTCAAGTAATAACATTTCCTCTCTCTTTCCTTGTTCT